TTTTACCCGAAACTAAGCATTTTGGTGGCTTTGTATGTATTTCTGACTCTCCGAATGGAGGTGAAAAAGTTAAAAATCAAGCTTTGACAGTTGGCGCCAAACAAGTAAGAAACTTCAGATAAATTTTGTGAAAAATCTAAACGTATGACAGACACTTTATTTGTCATTTCTGAAAATGCCATAGCTTGCACTGCGTGTTACTGATATTTTTAAAGGAATCGGGCGGATTCTGGAGTATGCTGCACCTTCATGAAGATTGCCTATATTGGTATATTTTAGGTGTGATTTTGGCTGGGTGGGGGTAAATATAAATTGCTGTCAGTCATTTTTTGAAGGAGCAATGCATGCAAACTATTATTTTCTTCAATGTATGTCATATATCATTGAATAATGCTGTGCAGCTGGTTATCTGCCTGTGAAACAGATTTTGAAATATTTGGAATTGTGTTTCTGGTCACACTGAAATACAAAATTTTTCATTTTTAGGTCCCCTGCCCCCTTATAGGCTCTTTCATTTAAGCGATAACAGTCAGTGAAAAGTTACTTCCCTTGCCGGATGTGACGTAAATGGGGGATAAAACTATGCAGGATTTTGCATAGAATGTAAGCTTACTGAAAAGTTAAATCTGGGACATAAGATCTTATGTCCCAGGTTAAATACGTAAATACTGATCGTTCAATTATGATTATAGCATGTAAAAATTTACGCATGCATACATAAATCCAATATCAAGACAATAGAAAAAAATACAAATAGAAAAGTGAATATATTTTTCTCTAATGCTAGGATAAAAAGCTAGATCTAGTACCTAAATAAAATTTGAATATTTTATAAACACCCATACACACTGAAGTTGTTTATTAAATACTAGTATTTAAATGGCCATTTTTCTAGTTTTTCTGTGTTATTTTCTGTCATTTAGAAAATTCCGGCGTATTTGTTACAAACATGAAAATAAGATTGCCAATGTCTTTTAATGATTGTTTTTCAAGCTTTAATAGAACAATAACAGAATGCATTCTGTCAATACTGATTCTTTTTCACTATGCCGTAAAAAAATATTTCAAAGAACCAGTGAAGGATATAATTTTATAAATATTACGGAAAGAAGGAAAACCATGTGCACTAACTCTTATAATTTTAGATTCGCAACAGACGATAATAAGATAATTTTGATATTAAAAATCTATTCTTCTTGTTATAAAAATAAAGATCTTTTCCCAGTAACTTATTTCATAGATAAATAGATGTGTATATATAGGCGCCACTGGGCCGTAACAAATTAACTAAAAGGGTGCATATGTTGTATTTATTACCCTTCCAGATTGTTTCCGTCTTTTTCAAGGGACAGGACGTGAAGTGGTTGCACACTTGGTTCAAGCGAGCGAATTGGTTGCAAACTTGACAAAATGGCAAACACGGCGTGATTTTTTTGAAACAGGTGAACGAATTTTTTCCAGGCAAGTAGGTTTCTTTGCTATTTTGAAGTTCATTAGTATGTCTATTCCACAATGCAATATATATGCCACACTCGGTTAAAGGTTTTAGCATCCTAGAATCTGTTTTGACGAAGTTATTGAAGATATAAACTGATCATGTAGATATTTTGATATTTTGAAATTTGCCTGACGGCTCGGGTGATATAAAATCTTAACAGGTGATATATCCACATATATCACTCCAAAACAAAAAAATAACATATTTATAACAGCGGCACTTGGCTGTGATATCATAAATCACCAGGGTGCAAACTACTTCAGATTACGTCACTTTTGTTAGTTGTCAAAATATTTATGGTCCGCATTTTGTAATGGATCATCCATGGGACCTTATTGGTCATGGCTTACTGATTTGATATTCGATCCAGAGTCCTATCAAGTCACCGCAACTGGCGCAGTCAAAAATACGTAAAATTATAATTCAGTTAATAATGCATTTCTGTGAAAGTGTTTCACAACTTGTTTATGTTTTTTTTTGTGATTATTTTTAAATATTTGATAAACAGAGTATGAAGTTGAAAATGTTACTTTACCAGCTTAAATCACGCCCGTTTAACGTTAAATGTCCATCGGTAAAAATGTTGTGAGCAACATCCGTTCCTCGTTGTGAGCACCCTAGGACGTGTGACACGATAAAAAAGGTGAGTTTTTCATAATTTTTGAAGATTACAGCGTTTATGTAAAAATATCGGAATGCAGTTAGCGATGTGTTTTCCGAGTATGCACACGTGAAGATATTGCCTGTTGGTAAATACCGTGCGGCGCAGTCACTCGGGGTAGCTGGAAAATTGGAGACAACTTCTCTCCGGACCATTTTAAACATTGAAAAAGTCGATTCTGGTGACGTTTTGTGCACAGATGTTGACAAGACTGCAGCGTAAATTATTATCTGAAAGTCTTCATAGAAACGAAAATATACCCTTTTTGGCTTGCAGCCACGGCTGCAAGTCATTTCATATGGAAAACTTGTTCCGGTTAGGTGGTTTTCTGCTTAATTTGTAAGTGCATGATTGAACGGGAAACCAGATGAAATCGTGCCAATCGCAACTTTTCGGCCTTTTTCGTCACTCTTCGGATTAATGATAATAGCCGATGTAGTTCCGATTGCAATCGTGACAATTCGGGCGACTCCGTCATACTGCAGAATCAATCGAATGCTGCGGAATCAGAATATTACGGAAATCTAAGCTATTTTAGTTACCTCGGTAATCCCAGTTTGTTTATATAAATAGGATTCGTATTTTTATTTGATTTATTGAGATAAACCGTAATAAATTATAAACGAAATGGTTCCGTTTCAATTCTTTTTCAAGACGCAAAAGTTAGTTTCTTTTATAATTGTTTTTTATCTGTATTAGTTTTATACAATAGAGGATGTTGACTGTAGTAGTATTCCGTCTTCAAGGGTGGTCCAATTCACACAGAATATTAGTGCATGATCGAGTTATATTTAGATCTATTGAATTTGGTGAGGTAATCTAAAAATAGTCAATGCATATCATTAACCTTACAGCGATGCGTATTAATTGGTACCACGTAACGAAGTGGAAATAAAATGTGCACACTAATTGTTTCCTTTCAGTATGATAGATAGATCTCCACGTTAGTATTTTAACGATTGATTATTTTCTTTATTAGTTTTATACAATAGAGAATAGATTTCAAATCGTTTTGACAAAAATATTCGTTTTTACAAAAATAAAAACAACTAAATATGTTGGGATGAAGGCACAACTGTGCAAGCCTTTCCTTTTAAAAAGGAAACTTTATTTGATTTAATCCTGGTTGTGGGCTCCATAACCTCGTTGTGAGCAAGACAAGCGCAGTGCTTGTCTGGTTTTAATATGTCATTCAAAATGCGAGTATGTTTATCGTGTCACACGTCCTAGATGAGTGCTCACAACGAGGAACGGAAGTTGCAACATTTTTACCGATGGACATTTTACTAAACGGGCATGTTAAATATATCGGTGTGACGTACGATTTTTTGAGAGTGCATTTTTTGCCGACACAAATACAATACAGGCATGTACATTCAAAAGCATTTTTACTTTTTATGCCTTTACATTTTTTTTGAAATTACATAATTTATATTGTTGATTTTCTTTGTCTTAGTAATGCTTCAATCAAAATGATTTTGAATAAACCAGTATCTTGCGATTCATTATTACGCAGCTGTTTTTCGAAACTACAGCTAGAATCCTTACATTTTTGAAATTCAAAATATCTTTTGGGTATTGTATATTATCAGAGACATAGATACATTATCTATATATCTGGTATGTATTAGCAAGTTAGTACGATTTAACTGCCTGCTAAAATATTCATTTTACCAATCTTAACGAAAATGGCAGAGACATAGATAACAGTTATCTATGTTTCTGAAATGGTAATCAGGATCAGCTACCGAGCAATATGGTCTACTATTAAAACAAATTTTATTATAATAGAAAACATTTTTATTCATTTCACCATCCTTTTTATGTTATATCTTATTCAATTACGCAAAATTTTGGCCATTTCAATTTGCCAATCTTACAAGAGATCCCTCGTATTATTATGTAAGTTAATGCATGTCATATACTTTACTGTTTCTCCAAATCAGCTTCGCAATGATGTAACAATTGTATAACAATTATAATGTCATTTGATGCATGTGTGATTTGTATATATATATTGTAGCTTGTTAACCTTTGCCAGAGGCATTTTGTATCAAATAAAATATTGAATTGAATCGTATCGGCATTGTCCACCGTATCCCCCAATGACGTCACCCAAGTGCGACAACTTGAATAATAATGATAATAATAATAATAAAGACTTTATTTAACGAGAGAACTCATTTGAACAAACATATATACGGTCTTAAATGAAAGGGTCTATACCATACCGAGTAACCATTAGTTTCAATTGTGGGTAAGAGATGTCGGCTTGCAAAATGAAAATAAAAGTTTTAAAATGAAGTTTTATTTTTATTTGATTTTCCTTAACGGGACTTCACTGAGGTTTTTTGACATGATGGGACTGAAAATATATTTTCCAGATAATAGTACCATTTGATTGCAAAATTTCAGATCTTAGAATCGTTAGAACTGTCCTTAACATTTTATTTTATGACCAATGGGATTCACCGATTTAAGTTTGTAATTTTATAATGACAAATGAAATTTCTTCTTATATTCAGTCCTTCCCTGTTAATTTTACAGGAAGTGGCCTAAATATACGATTAACTATATGGTATTCTAACACGTGATAGGCCAGTTTGAACTTGGAATATAGTTTTAAACTACATGTAGTACACAATCAATACACATCAGTGATTAATTCCACAACCTAAAAATGCTTATTATACTTAATTGGAAGAAACTGATATTAAGATAATAAAATACTAGTAGTTATAAATACTTGCAAAAATGAATATCATGAATATATCAAAACGTAGAAGTGATTTACCGTATGAGAACGAAATAACTATACAATCTTATTTATGAGCGGCTTACCTTCAGGTACCACGTGTCCCCGAAATGGGCAAGCGCCACATACCCCGCAACATGAGTCTCTTGATGTCCCGGGCGGGTAATACAGGGGTCCTTCGCAAGGTGGCGGACAATTTTCTTCGGTTTTATAATGTTTGCACTGGTCATTACATGTCTCACAGCAACCATCTTCATCGATTACCTTACGGAATTCTTCACCACAAGGAGGCGGCTGTTCGTTATATGGAGCACAGTCCCTTCTCATGCACTTAACTTTACCTGTTTCGCAGCATTTGCATTCTTTGCACGGATTGATTGGATGTGGGATATTTGCTGACGAATAAAATCAAAACATCACACATTTTATTTATGGATTGAAAGGAAATTCAGGGTTAAATGGGCTCCGCTGAGGATTTCTTTTACATCAATGGTCTTAAGATATTTTATTTTAAAAATATGTATACCTTATAACTTGTATGCACGATTTCAGATCATTCACTCATTCCGTTTTTCCAGATTAAGTTTTTAAATGAGCCAGCAATGACTAGTGTCTTTTCAAATCTACGTCTATTTTTATTTTAGATACTTTAATAAGTCTAATACTTGAGAGCTTTTAAGTCTCGCCAAAACTGTCATTGTCAAATGGCGACTTTTCATCATTAATGGTAAAGTTTAGCCTTTCTTTTTTTACGAAGTATCAACGTCATGCAGCTAAATTATCTTAACTTGTAAAATTGCTATAATTTGTTGCGAGCATGTCACGTGTTTGCTTTAATAAATTTCACGAATGATTGCAAGATTATAAGACGTTTGCCCCCTCACCCGGCCCTCCACCCAAATATCAATGAAAAAGTTTAAATAATATAAAAAGAATTTGAATAACCACGAAACAAACAAAAAGTGTTTTATAAACGTGTAATAATTTTCCATGGTAACGACTACGCTAACTGTTATATGCTGAATAGATATAAATGAGTATTAAAATTTATGCGATATACTTTTTCATCACACACCCGTGCCGATTTTGCGACTCCGTAAATATGGTATTGCACGGCCGTGCATATATTTTGACGTGACGTCATTAGCGTTAAACAAACATAGCGTAAAGACGCGCTAAATGTTAGCGTTATACTAGATCTATATATAGGCGCGTCAATGAAAAATAACTCTTATTTCACTTTAAACGGTCTTTATTTTTGTATGTGATAGATAAAATATTAAATTCGTGTAAGTTCATTACTGAATTTATTGCACTCGTTGAATAAAATAATATTTTGCTCGCCAGAGGCTCGCATAATATAGTTTTATTCAACTCGTGCAATAAATTAAGTATCCTCTATTTATCACACACCCGTGCCGATTTTGCGACTCCGTAAATATGGTATTGCACGGCCGTGCATATATTTTGACGTGACGTCATTGGCGTTATACAAACATAGTGTAAAGACGCGCTACAGTAAATGTTACGTTATACTATAGGCGCGTCAATGAAAAATGACTTTTATTTCACTTTAAACGGTCTTTATTTTTGGTATGTGATAAAAAGAATATTAGATTCGTGTTAGTTCATTACTGAATTTATTGCACTCGTTGAATAAAATAATATTATGCTCGCCAAAGGCTCGCATAATATAATTTTATTCAACTCGTGCAATAAATGTTTAGTATTGAACTTACACTCATTCAATATCCTCTATATATATAGAGGATATTGAATGAGTGTAGTTTAATACTAAATTTATTGCACGAGTTGAATAAAATCATAATATGCGAGCCTTTGGCGAGCATAATATTTTTTTATTCAACGAGTTCAATAAATTAAGTATTGAATCTACACGATTATAATATTCTTTTTATCACATATAAAAAATAAGATTCTAACACGACCCGCATTTTTCCCTATTGAACATAGAGGAACCGAAAGTGTGTGCTATAAAATCACTGTTTGACGTTCTATATTAAGACATGTGACGTAATCATTATACATGTTCACGTGACGTAACCACTAAAAATGTGACGCGCTGACAAAAAGTACGGAAACAAACCAGGCGCAATTTAGCTAATTATAATGTACGGCAGCATTTATTTGTTGATGTCGTGTTAGAATCAAAATAATATATCCAAATCGGTGATTTTATTGCTTGATAAAATCACTGTTTGTCGTTCGGATGCGCATCATTATATCACGAGGGCTACGCCCTCGTGATATAATTCCCCGCATCCGAACTCCAAACAGTGATGTTATTGAGCAATAAAATCACAGTTTGGGATATATTATTTCTTAAACAGTAGACTGTTAAAATGAGTTATTTTTCAATGACGCGTTTATAGTGTAACGCTAACATTAGCGCGCTTTAACGCTATATTTCTATATAGCGCAATTTACGTCACGTCAAAGTGTTATAACACTAGTGTAATATCGTTTTTTGTATTTTCTGATCGCAAGATCAGTAAATGCAAAGCTAACATCCACGGTCTTACACACAATTTTCTTACAGACCTAACAACGCAAAGTAGTTTTCACTCAAAACTGCTTAAAAACCAGCAATTTAAAAGAAATAATAATTTTTAATGTAGACATTAAACTAATTACAGTGCATTAAAAGTTTAGATTAGTCAATAGAAATATGAGGTTACAATCACAAATTTTGCGGATGAATATCTTTTTTACCCAATGAAAAATAAACGGCTATTTCCGTAAAGCTTTATCAATGAAAATGCTATTTTTAGCTATACTCCAGAGCGTACTACACAAATAAATCTGACTGTCAAGTAGTGGAATATATGTATGTCGGACTGTTTTGGCGAGAAGATTTTCGCTAAATTATTTTCATCAGTGTTAAACAACAGGTTTATCGTGAACAAAATACTTCGAAATTAATAAGGATTACAAATGCGAAATGGAAATTCTCAATTTAGAATTACAATGTATTTGTTTTTATTTAAGCTACATATGTATTACTTCTCCGGTAGAGGTAGCGCGCTCGTTTAGTGTGTGAGAGGCCTAATGTTCAAATCCTAGTCGAGGCCACCTTTTTCTTTGAAGTGTTTTTTTAAGGAAGTAGCCTCGATATGCACGGATAAAGTGTTGTTGTCATAAAAAATGAAAAATGATTTTTTGATGCAACTCTAGTCATGCAAAATTCCATACGTATCAATCTCAAACTGTTATAGAAAAAAAATCTAAACGCAGTCCCTGCGTAAGATAAATTATAGTATATAAAAATAAACATATACAGGAGAATAAATAACGATAGTCAATATGATTTAGATTGCAAAGATCAGAAAATACCACAGAGCTTGCAGCCCTTTGATTATTAAATGGCTTTATTACACTCCTGCGCCGCGGTTTATGTGAAAAATGAATTATCGTCGCCCCTACAAATAACTATGTGTCACATTTGAAAAAAATGTACTTATTACAATTGACTATTATTTGCATTTCATGTGAAGATAGAGCTCTGTATTTGTACAATAAAACTTGACGATAATAGATGTCTTATCTGTGTAAATATTTTATTATTAAAAATAGTTATGATATTAAATGAGTTTTCTGATTCTTTTCAATCTTTATATTTCTACTATGATTTTATAAACTTACTTTGGTTAAGTGTGTAGACGTTACCGTACCAGTGACATTTTGTTTTCGGTTTGAAAAGCAACGTTGATTCACAGTGTACAGTGGTATAAGCAAAACAACTTATTAACAATAGAGAGCAAAGTAATCGTTCCATCTTCACTGCATTAATCCGTTCGTTAAACGTTCAAAATCTTATTGAACTAGATATTTCAGTAACAACACAATACGTTTTATCAAAACTTATAACGACACATGATTTTGAAATATAATAGAATTTTTTTTTTTTTTAACTAAACTTGACCATTGCCACCTATTTTGAAAACATCATTACTTTAAGTCCCGAATAGTAAATAACAAATGATGTTTGGTGCCATCATTTAATCGTGCATTTATTAAACGACAGCGTCTGTTCAATTGAAGATAACACGTAAACGTTAAAGGGCCTCAATTTAGTGCAATCATGACGTGTAAGTCGACTGATTCGATTTGATTAGATGTTTTAACATAAGTCACTGAATTAAAAAAAAAAATCTTGTTAAAACATTTAATAATAAAAGTAAAATCAGTCGGCTTTAACATCACGATCGCATTAAACTGGGGCTCATAAACGTTTCCGTCCGTTAATTTATTTGTTATTATATCTTACGTTGATTTCCTGTTTGTTCCAAATGGCAAATTTGTGTTATTTCTCATCTTTTTTATTGCTTTTTTCCAGGAAACATTACATTTTTCTCGGGATAACAATGCATATCAACATCGTCAGAGGAAAACAACACACGCCATATGCTTATATAAAACCAATTTACCCGTGACAGAATTAAAGTGTAATTTGCATATTGAAATCGTGATAAGTCACTAAACATTTCACTGTTTATTAAAAAGACGGATTTTGCTTTTGGTTGAAACTGACGGATAAAAAATGTTTTGGGAATAATTGCAGTAATTTCGGAATTTGAAATATTCGCCAAAGGCAAAACAGCCTTCGAATCTTCTTATAGTTGTATATGAGTCGTTGCTGCAACCTCCCACACTTTAGTTGCAGGTTGGCATAGGTTGAAATCGAATCGTTCATACGTAGAGGATATTTAATTAAATTTGTTTGTTTTATGCTATAATGCCTTAAAGATATTTGACCAATCAGTAAAAATACCGATATTGGACTGTATAGTAAGTACAAATGTCTAAGGTACTACTCGATATCTATAAATCATCTTTTATGTATACTCATCAAAAATAGTAAGCAGTAATATGATAATAATACTTGAAATATGGTAGGAACCTACTCATTGACGAGCATCCGGACATACTGGATACCTGGATTTTTTCGAACATCTGTTGTTTTTTTTTAAAGCGTTTATTTAAGGTCGCCGCCGGAAAGCCCATATGGGCGACCGTACACTCAAGTCGGGCCATCCAAGAGCGTCCCATCGAGATTTTTTCGTCGATTTTTTTCCAGCTTTATTGGTAGAAGACCCCAGGTGCCCCTTCGGGCATTATTTCAGGCACGAGCGGGCACCTGGGTAGAACCCTCGACCTTCCGTAAGCCAGCTGGATGGCTTCCTCACATGAAAGATTTCGACCCGAGTGAGGATCGAACCTACAGCAGTGAGGGACCAGTGATCTCAAGTCAGCGACCTTAACCACTCGGCCACGGAGGCCCCCAAACATCTGTTGTGACACGTGACCATGTTTTATATTGACTATAGCGTTAGTAACCGAGTAGATCATGCAAAGGAAAACACGATATATTGACGCTTTTGTCGGTAAAAATGGATTAACACATTAAAGCTTAAAGGTTTACTCGTAATTTTATTTCAATCTTTTTATTTTACCATCTGGAGACCAGTGGCTTTAAATAATAGACCTTAAATAACCATTACAGCCTCTCAGTACATATGTAGCAGGTGAATTGTTTCCTCATTTAGAAGAATTATCTTTGTGTTCTTCTGATACAGAAAAAAAATCCACTAAAGCCGACGATTAAATGCATGTATTAGTATCTTCAATGAAATATTTGACGACAGTTTCATTCTAAATATAATGTAAGATTTAGTTTGTATTTTATTTCATTTCTGTGTTAACAGCATAATCTGAAAGATTTATGTTTAAACTTTATATTTTTGCAAAATCTTCGTTTAAACTAACATTTGATAAAACATTGTTATTCTTGATTGTTTGAACATCTGTTTTCAACATGTGATGAATTCATTGAATGAATTGATTTTCAACGCCTCAACAACATATGTGCGCGTGATATTATTCTTATGTTGTCTTTGCTGTCGATGTTGATGATGTTGTTGTTTTTACTTTAAGCATTATTTACCGTTTCCTAGACTTTATCACTGATATGAGGAAACATGGTCGTGACAGTATGAGAGCTCAACATTATGATCAAACTCATTTTGGAATGAATAGTCAATAACCATACAAATAACAGTAAAAAATCTGATCAATTTAAAATCAATTAAAATTAGAATCAAATATCTGAATAAAGTTCAAAATAACAATTCTTTGAAATTCAATTAACTATTGCCCTTCTTGAACCGAAAGCAATTTTCCTCTGTAAATTAGTGTAGTCTAACCAGGCTTTTTACTATTGAATGAAAATCTAAATTGATAATAGACAGTTCCAAAAATGGAAGCTAAATAGAGGATATTTGTTTAGTTCAGTGTAAGATCGGAATATATTTCACCGAGTGAGCACCAAAAGGTATATTTCACAAGTGGCGCAGCCACGAGTGAAATATGAATTTTTGGTGTTCACACTTGTAAGGTGAAATATATTTCGATCAAACACTAAACTAAACAAATTTTATTTTTATTATATGCAAATAAACGTTTTAAAAGACATTAAACCTAATACTGAATGTAAAGCGCGCCAAAAAAAAAAAAATACAACGTGACATCATTAACGACGTCACGTCATTAAGTTGGTACCCAGTACTGTGCACGCTGGTATTTCACTGAAACAACGTAAGGGGCTTAAATTCAAAACAGTGAAATTATCAAAGTGGTAATTCCACTGTTTCAAACAGTGAAATAACCAGTTTTATATCACTGATATATTTCTATAAACCACCTAAAAGCATGTAATAAAGGCTATTTAATAAACTCAGCAAGGGTTAAGAAAAACATTTGTGGGATCAGTAACAACGAAATATCACATAAATTATGCAATACGTTTATTCTAAAATAGATTCTCTATGTTCCTTTAGAGAAGTTTTTTTTTCATCTGCAGATATATTCTAATTTACCGTTGAGAACTAGTTTGTAACATTTGTTGTATATAATTTATCGAAGGACAAGGAATATTGAGCTTTTCCTATGGTGTGTATTTATCTATAATACACGTTTTATACAGTCTCGTAAGATTTAATGAAATTACATACATATCCTTAAGGGAATTTATAATCTCCACATTCTCTAAGCAGGGTTATAATTAATCGGATTAATTGCCGTTTTCACACACATTTCTTCCTGCAACATTTTCTCAAACACGCCCTCGTGTCCCTGGTTTCCACAGGCTGCAAATGGCCACCAAGGATCTAGAACACATGTGCAAAATTTACCCGAAATCTCGTAAGTCATGTTGGCATACAAAACTTCATCGCCCTTCCAGCATGTTGGACCTAATCAGATAAAATAAAAACAATATATATTTTTATGAATGAATTGCGTTCTGAAGTGGGTATGAATGAACTTGTAAGAAAGATGAAAATATCAGTTCTGGGATATGATATAGAGGATATTTGTTTGTTTTGCATTTAAGATTAAAATATAATTTCACTGAGTGAACACCAGATGCAATATTTTCACGAGTGGCGTAGCCACGAGTTAAAATATAAAAGCTGGTGTTCACGAATGAAATATATTTCAATCTTATATGTAAAACAAATAAATTTTCTTTTTATTTTATGCTTTTTTAGTGATTTTAAGTACCTTTTTACTGATTTTGCCGCGTCACGTCACGCATTCTCCTTTGTGACGTCATTATATCATGACGTCACATCATAAGTTTTGAAATATAGTTCTGTTAAATTTCTCTAAAAAAATTTTGTTAAATTTATCACATGGTGTATGATGACATTGACTTTCTTTTCCTAAATAAGCAAATTTACGTATGACGGCATTTATCTCTGCCTGTTATTCCATTTGGTTATGATTTTCTTTTCATCCGCATTCAGATAAAGTCCGGCTACAGTGAAAATTATATTTTATAAATTTCACTAGTGGTTTATCAGAATATAATTATCTGATATATTGTAATAAAACACTGGAAAGCATGAAATAAATACAGTTATACAGTTATTTGCAGGAATCCGACACCGGCTATCGTCACCGACAAGAATATATAACTCTCGGGAAACTCGACGAAAAACAGGTAGTGAGCTATAACGGCAGCCGGTGTAAGATTCTTTAAAGACCATCTAATGCACAATAAAATCTCCCGAATTCTGACTGGCTTAAACACTTAATATTCTATGCCGTATATACCTTGAAGAGAAGCATGAACATTTTTTGTACATCGCAGACGGTTATCTATACATGTGCATAACATTTTTAATTGCGTTCACTCCTTATGACTTTTCCTCGAATAAGGTTGACCGCAACATTTAGACGGATAAGATAATTTCATTTTCAAGAATATGCTTACATTGCGAAATCATCCAGTTCGCTATTCATTTTACATATCGCGATATAATCATTTTGATAATCAAACACTCATACCAATCGGAATGTTCGGCTATTATGGCCGACGAAAAGGCTCGAGAATTTGCAATTGCCCTTCATTCTATAAAGGCGTCGCGCTTCCACTCTTATACTAAAGTAAATTTGCAGCCCCATAAAAAAAAAAAAAAAAAAAAGAACAACAACAAAAACAAGAAATATCTTTAAAAAAAGATAATCGGCGTAAATTCAGTGCAAAATGTCTCATAGCTTTAGAAAATTTTCAAAATTAATGATATTTATACTTTATAACAATATAAATGTCTAAATTGAAATATATTTGGTGGTTACTAGAATAATCTATGACAGTTGTCTAAACTTAGCTGAAACATGTATGCTCCTATAATGTCAACAAATTAGTCATGTCATGCCAGAAGCTTTTTTGTCACCATGACTTTTGACTACTGGTTTCAAAGTCAATACCAGATAATAACCAACCACACTACCAAATTTAGAGACTGCAAAGGCCACAGTCAGCTGACAACTTGAATTTTATTGTTAAATAATATTATTAACTTATATGTATCTGACCTTCATTTTGTTAAAGCACTTCTGTGCATAAAATGCTGCAATTATTAGGTCATGATAATAACACCAAAATCTTTTGTTGTTTATATCTTTTATTTATGAAAGAATACAAACTGTAATAAACAATCAATGGAACATATCAACTCTGAACTATACTATTTATAATGCCTTCTTATCTATCTGGCAATGAAATGAATAATTGAAGACTTAAATCAAAAGTTAAACATAACCTTACTAGTAAAAGTTATAATTATGTATTTTATAAAAAAAGGATTTCTATTAAAAAATGCACAGCTTGACTAGTATTTTGTATATATAGGGATATGAGGTGGAGGTACAAGTTAAGCCTACTGGCATGGCTACGTGTCGTACACCTACACAGGTTATATTTTACAATGTACTTTAAATGTGGAATGTAAAATATAAATGTTGTTCCATATATACAGAAATATATCTATTTATCTTATAATAAGTACTAAACTCAATTTTGTATAACCCACCAATGACACTGATTATCAAGTGAGACAGTTTCAGATTGAGGTAGTCAATTTGGGTGTATTTCGGTAAATTTACCTACCGGTGTAAACAAACGCCGAATAACTACGAATAAATTAATTTGTTATTATTACGCACAAAAAATAATACTTAAAGTTTTGCAATTCTTTATGATAATGTTGCATTTTAAATATATTAATTTTCGCAATTCATATCAGCTCTGGAGAATCTTTTTGTTGATCAAAAATATCGTTCATTTTCATAGAAAACAGAAAAGCTACGGCAAATAAAGTACGAGTGAGTAGTAATCGAATGTTTAAGTAAAGGCTCGGTTTGTTGTTAATATTATCAACAAAATAAATTGTACATGAAATCATATGTACTGTATATTTTTGCAATTTGATATATCTTTGTTTTGGTCATAACGTTGTGATATTTAGTTTACGATTGTATAAATATTTTTAATACAACTTTATTCTTAGAGACAAGTAAACTAAAGATTACGAATTTGTCCTTAAATTTCATAACAGCCAGTCTTTCCACCAATGAAAAACACCCTCTTTTAGCTGAAGATTTTGTAACTAACAATTTCATTTGTTACAAATCTAGGTCAAAATCCATTTTAATACAGCTACGCCGAAAAACAGTGATCCTCAATCTGCCATAGTTGTCGAATGCATCGCTTTGTTTTGTATTATGCGCAACAAAAGTTTGTCGCAACATGTTAATAGACGTTTTTGTTGTTTATTAAGAATTTTACTACCTGTTAGGTACATGTTTCTACTTGTTAGGCAGTTTTAAGTCAATTCTATCCTTATTTACACTATTACTCCATTCTAAGAAAATAATAAACAAAGTTAATATTTCAAATAAAATGTGTGTTTATTGCGTGTTGTATATTGTGGTAAATCTATGTGGAATGTCAAAAGATTTTCATGTTCTCTGTTAATGTTATTACAATTACAATTATTTCTTTCCTCTTTAACGTATTTTCAACTACACAACAAAAAAATAACACAAAGTGTACCGGGCCTTTTGCCTAACTTTAACCAATGTACCGAAAAAATTAAATGTATAATTTAATTACCGAAACGAGGCCATCCAATCAAAATCTCTGAAAATATGAGACAGCTTCCGAGCGACACAGACTACCGATAGTGAAGGATGCTTTATTGAAATAGTTTATTTTCGTATTTTAAACGGTTCCTTTGGTTGTTACTGTTGGTGGTTTTTGTCTTCCGTGTATTATTTATTTGAAAATGGTCGCTTGAAATTAAAACGTGAAACCCCCCAAAAATACGGGTCAACGAAGCGTTTTAACAAGTTCAAGAACAGACTTCGTGTTAAGCAGCCTAGGCATATATTCGATATGCGTCATCATTGATAAAAGGAAACTTCTCTTTTTCGGTTTATTGAAAATAATTGCAATTTCCTTATATTGGTCAAAAGAAACCCCGGATACAAAGTAAATATTCTCAAGGTCTCGATGATTGAACGATATTAGGTTTCACTGTAATATAAAATGAAATTAATCTCCGATATCGGCACAGTTACATCATCTCTCTATATTCAATTCTATCAACAGTATCAAGTTTCAATTTAAAAGTTGGTTACAGGACAATAGTATTTCTAATATTTGGAATTTCATCTTCCTTTAGTGATATGAGAAATCTGAAATTCAGTTTCAATTTCTCAAAAACCAAGGGTGAAGATCTTTAAGAAATGCAGTAATATTTACACTGAAATATATATATTTATATATATATATATATATATATATATATATATATATATATATATATATATATATATATATATATATATATATATATATATATATATATATATATATATATATATATATATATATATATATATATATATATATATATATACATACTCAGTTCTGAGACAAAGCACGAAAACTTTATCTTACCTTCAGGGCAACCCCACTGACATGTGTTGTCGTCTATCTGTGGGTTAACACATTCAAGTTTTTTTGCCGGACAACTAGCTTGGGTACTGCATGTTACCTTTCCATTTGCGCACACGCATGATTCGCACGGATGTACAACCTTTGGATCAGTGACAGGACCTGATGAGAAAAAGTCCAAAATTTTTGAAGTCTCAAAAATCATTATACATAAAAATAACTTAAATATGTAACACTGAGCACGAAAACTTAAAACAAAACCACGGTCCCTGTGGTAAGCATTCTGGACTTGTCAATGATTTGTGTCTTTATGTGTTTCCCGGTCAGGACTTCTCCAATAAATTTAAATAAAAAATGGTTGTCTAGATCAGCATTATGTTAAATAGTAACACATCGATTTTTATAAATTCTGTTTCCTTATGGTCTTTTTTTACAAGTTACTTAATTTTAAACTGAATTACTGTTTTTATACTGCTGTTGTCGGAGTACATGTAAACAAGAACAGGGGGTGTTTATTGCAGTTTTCTTCTTTGTGTATAAAATCACGAGTAATGTTAGAATATCATTTCAATAATCAAAGTTTTTTATAGCAGATAATGCTCGGATTTGTCTTATAGCATTTTAATGGACGTGGACTAGAAACGTTTACAATATATTAGTTCGCTATTATGACAGCACTTCTTTAATTTTACCGTAAAATAATAAATGTTTTCGCCCAAACATGAACATTATTTAGCGCGGTAAGGGTTAATTCTTCCAGAGGTATAAACATCTGATAAACGCGAAAGTTTATCTGATAGTATCCGGTAACCGTATATTCAGTTTATCTTGTTGAATAATTTCAAACTACATACCATTTGGCACAATGGACCCACGGAAGATACCTCCACATACCCCAGTACAACCGGCTGGTGAAGTGTCTTCATTGTCGTAAAATACTATATCACCAGGGCAGTTTAAGACTGGACTATTATTCTTAATGTCGACACATGTGGAATTACATCTTGTACAACATCCGTCAATGTCAACTGCTTCCTGGAATAATATTCCACATTTTGGTGGTTGGGCATCAGCACATGGTTTCTTAAAACACTTTACTTTTCCAGTTTTACAACATCGGCACTGAATGCACTTTCTCGTTGGGTGATTGAACACTGAGGATAATAAAATAAAAGTTAAGTTCAGGTGACAAACAAGTTGCGAAACAAAGTAAAATTTTATATACTTTTAATAGCCTGCATATCGTTATTACGACTACAACCTTTGTAAATATCATTAAACTACAAGCTGAGAATGAGCCCATTAACCGGTTGTCCATATTGAAGAGTATAAGTCATTTTAGATTTTTAGAGAATAGTGAAAGATACAGATACAAAAAGAACCCCCAATTCCAGAAGTTCCTACCGAAAGACTGAGTAATTTTAGTTGGCTAACCCGGGAAACGAACCCAAAATATAGAGATAACATGTCTCGAGCTCTAACCGATTGAGCTATACAGGCTTGTTATACTTGATTAAAGATGATCCACAAAATTTAAATTAAGCCATGATAAACCATTCGGAACACCTAGCCGATGATTCATAATCATCGCGGAAATAACATGCATTGAAAGTAGTTCTTCCATGTGACTTTTTGGTGTAAGCAAAATCGGGTGTAATCTTTGTGTAATGGGTAATATAACAAATGTATTTATTTGGCATCCATTTAGGTAATATTAAAATTGAAAATGTGTCTGAAAGTCAGAATCAATGTAAGAATGACCATTTACATACAATTATAACGAAATCTAAAACATCGTCACTAGTAGCTATTATAATTAAAACAAAGGTTGCACACAAATCTGCGCACCCAGGTACTAATACTAGTATATTAACCAGTGTGGCCATACCACGTTACATTGACGTCATTTTCGGCATCATTTCCAAGACAAATGTTGCTCGATTCGGAAAAGAAAATAGCCGTAAATATTTTATTTCTGTACCAATTTCTTTGGGATATGCACCAGTCTACGGGCAAAAATATAAGCTTTCCACAGAATATTGGACCTTTTGTCAGTTTATAAGCCGTTTTATATCAAACACTTTGCATAACCTTGGAAGTTGCTTGTATTAGAGCGGGCTTCAGTTGCAAGCTATTTCGTTTTCTGGCGTTATTCTGGTCTACGTCATGATTAAAAAGTCAGGTTTACATCAACCGGGAGTACGGAGGCAAAACTCTATCTAAATATGTACGGCAAAAAATGTTAACTTTGTATATAATTCTAATATGTAAGTTTTAACCGGCTTATAGTTTCAGTCTGTCCCTTTTGTGCCGGTTCGTTTCATGTAACTTAAACAACGCCCATACTAGGATATTGGCAGTCGTTAAAATCTATGTTAGATTCATGTGGTTCAGAGAATAAACTCCATTTATGGTCCTGAAAACATATATACATTTGTATTTAGTTCGGTGGTTCTTAAAATTGATGTCACATACCAAGCCTAAAAGGATTCCAAGTATGAACTGGCGGTATTCATTTAAAACTTATATATCAGGTTTTGAAAGAAAGAAGATATTATTCACATGAAATCTAATACTTGTCTTTGGATCATAATTACAGGCCTCTACCCAAACCCCATAAAACTCTGGCATTGAAGTTTACTGCTTTTCGTAATTTAGAAATTTCTTGGTGCAACAGGACTGATGTTTGGTCCTTTTTTGACAACATTTATGCAATTCCCTTTTCCTGTCGGCCGCACCCAGGCCTTACAGCACTTTGATTATAGCTAGACAGGACTATATCGCTAAGAAAAAATTCCTTTATAATATTCCATGTAACTTATGTTAATAGCAAAAAGGGTATAAATACATATATAGTCAAATTAAAAATTCACTTCGCCAGCAAATTGATTATATATACCTTAAAACACACACATGTGTTATAATTATGTCGCAACACCGCTAAATGTCGCACTTAATTGCCGCTAAATATCGCACTTTTGCCGCTAAATGTTGCAACTGCAGCTAAATGTCACAGAATAATTTGCCGTTAAATGTTGCAATTATTATTTTATCTATCAACCAAGATGCCGTGGGTTCCATCGGCTTGAGATGGATCTTACACACTGAAAATTTTATTTTAGAAAGATTTAAATAAAATTCAATCTTATTGTTTATATTGTATTTAGACCGTTCAGCTACAAGCTACTGCAACGTTGAATATCAAGGGGCAATCGTGCAGCATTAATCGTTATCAGGTAGATTTTGAAACATTTAGCGGCGGTTGTGACAATTAGCGGTAATTGTGTGAAATTAAGAGGCCAATGCGACAATTAGCGCCGTTCCAACCTTTTTAATGGCGTCACAATACGCTCTATATACGAAAATATAACAAAATAGTATAAAATAAGGCTTAGATGACTTAGTATCGAAAATTAAAGATAAAAAGAAGAAAATAACCCTTGATGTTGTGAATATTATACAAGCATAATTTATACAACGACTGTCCAAGTTACAGAGACACTTTATAGCCAAATAGAATCTATCAAATATGAAAAAGGAAAAAATAACGTCCAATGGCCTTGTCCGGTAGGATCAGAATCAAGTATATTATATTCTTCATTCATTAGTTTTATAAGTATTTCGGACAAAGTTGGTAAAAACAAACTTACGTTGGTCGACTTCATATACGGCATTGAACTTCTTACATTTTGTTTTTTCTTGGTAACGCAAGGTGTCACTTGATTCAGCGTTAACAGAAAACACTAAATAACTTGATATTAACAAAACTAAATGTAAACAGTTCATCCTTAAATATAGTCAAAGTTCTTTCGGTAATCTTGAATGATAAGTTTACATGTAGTCCAGACGCCTCACTTTATGCGTTATTTTATTTGTACGCATTTTATATGGAAACGTACTTACCAAAAAAGTTATAAAAAACAAAAATTTTTTTGCATCTAAAGTAAAATCTTTTTTTTGTGTTGCTGTTAAAACAACTTTTAAATTTAAGTGTAGTGCCCGCTTTTTATTTAAACCCCTTAGTTACATCCTAGTTTTGTTTTAATCGTTTTCCCTCCCTTAAAATTTTGAAAGTTTAAAATGTTTCAATTTTCAAATAAAAACCAAAAACAAAACAACCAAGTAAAAGAGAGCCGGGCTGTAATCTTGAGCAGGTTGCACTTTTTCACTAAAAATAAACTTTCCCATTTTGAAAAAATTTTAGTTTTAAATAAGGATATTAAGTAAATTGTTTTTGAGTTTAAAAAAACACACAAATTTTTAGTAAATGGCAACGATCATAATTTTTCCCTTTTAAATTTTAACCTCTCTTTTTTACGAAACCCCTTTACGCAATACAGGGTTATGGCGGAAACAGGGACACGTCTAAAAAAAACTGCTACTTGATTTCAATGTTTAAGATACATGTATATAATTACATGATGTATTGCTTACATGCCTCTCAGCATTATTACAAATTATTTATTTTTCATCAAAGAATTCAGTACAATTTCGCCTGTTCAAATAACTTATGTGAGTAAAGCAATTTCATCTTTTCGACCATTCCAGTCAATCTTCGGATAAGAAATTATTATAAATACGTCGTGGCATTCCGATTTGTAATACTTTTATCCGAAGTAAATCACCGCCGTTTCTTACGAAATTGCCAACTTCTTATACGATTGATCCGAAGTTTGATATCGAAAAGGGTTTGAAAAATATAATATAGCAAAAGTGATGAGGTGTTCCAAATGGGATTGAGGATACAGAATCAAAATTTGCAACGCATTACTGAGAATCAAACTAACAAAAAAGGTTAAATGTGATAATAATAAAAAAACCCAAACGAAGACCAATTAATTTGCCTATAAAACAGTTTAGTTCCAATGCAAAATTGCAATAACTAACAGAAACAATTAAGTCGAAAAGGTATTATTTTCAAAACGGTATTTACATAAATGAAACTTATATCCCTTTAAATTTTTGAAATATACTTTACATTTGAAATTCACAAAACAAAATCTTTACATTTTTCGGCCTTCACTGGTGTCACACTACTAAGCTTTCTGATCTAGAATTTTACCGGGGATGTTGTGCGTGGTTTAAAACAATACATGTAATATCTTAATACAAACATATTACATGTTATTCTTCTTAATGAATTGCGCAAAAATTTGGGTTCTTCCTCCCGTAAATTTCTATAATCGCAATGCTATTTCATGAAAATAAATTTACTTGCAACTTTGGTTACAGAATGTTGTTTTTATTCTGATTTAAACATTCATCTGTAAATGACATCAAACTATAGTGTTATACATATGCATAGTTATTGTTATATGGTCAATGCAAGAAGAAACGATGACATAAGATGAAGTAAAAACGGGTTGGCAATAACATTTAATATTGGCGTGCTGGCACGTAAGTTATGCATAACATATGTTTCACATATCTTACGAGTTCAAAACAATATATTAAAAGGACGCATTTCTTGCTTTCTGACTTTGAATACACTGTTTACTTCCCTTTTCTCAATATTAATGACATGACAACGTGTTTTCCATAACGGTGTCTTTAAAGCCTATAGAATTTGATAAAGGTATAAATTGCTTATATTCATGGATCAATTTCTTTAAAAAAGCACACTGAATATAAAACCTTTCGAGTAAATATTTCTATGTTGTACACAATAAGCATCTGTTACTGATGCTGTTTTATGCTTTGGGGACTGCCGCACCAATGTCTTTACAAAATCACAATACGCTACAAACTCCCAACGTCAAGAATTAATGCGCCGTGCATATGATCAACGTTTCATTGACTGTATCTACCAATCACTTCACTTGTGTTATTGGTGTGTTGACACACAATTGTTTTTTAAATAAAAAAATCGATTTTATTCTTAGTGTTCAAAATCATTTGTCTTATACTAATTGGTTTAAACATTTTTTTAGCTCGATTGCGAAACAAGTTTTTGCAACTTTCGTAATCACTTACGAGTCAGTTTAGTGTCATATGAAAAACATGATCGAGACCAGAGTAGGTCTCGAACCAATGATTTCTGGGTTGAGAGGCAGACACCTTAACCATTAGGGCACCGCTCCCCTTGAACCATTCTAAAAGAAAATGTGTCTGATAGTTCTTATCATTTTAAAATAAAATTTTATGGATAGCTCTAAAATAAAAAGTAAGGGGTAGGTTTTGCAACTATGAAATAAAATGTAAATTTTCGTCAAATGCGTTTGAAAAAATAAACAATGTAACAATATAAAAAGCGAGGTAAATTTTGCAGGGTTTTAAACATAACCCCAGCGACTTTGAAGTTTATAAACCCAGATTTCGGGTTTCAATTTTTGATATTGCCAATTTCCAACAAAAAATCGTGTTTTTGTTATTTTTTTTGAAAAAACTGGGTACCCCTTTTTATTTAAAAATTCTTGAAAGGTTGGGTTTTCTTATTTTCTTTAAAACAGAATAGTTATGTTTCTATTTTTCCCCACTTTTAAATTTTTAGATTGAGGGCATTTTTCAGAGTTTGGGCAAGTCCTAAGTAAAGGGCCCTACTGTTTTTAGACAAAAACAGTAACTTTTAAGTTGTTTTGGAGAGAAAAAGATTAAATTTCTTGATTTTTAATTTAACCCTTATTTAAATGCCTAAAAAGTAAAATTTAAAAAGGAAAAAAGCGGAATCCTTAAAAGAAAAACCCAAAACGGGAAAAAATGAAAATGTTGGCAGGCTCAATTTGATTGAGCCTGTTCATGGAAGGTGGTGGTAACTGCAAGGTATGGTCCAGGCCTTCTAGCACCAAAACAAATCTGATAACACCAATGTAAAACAGGTCTATAATCCGAAATAAGTACTGTTACCACCTCGTACTGTCACCATAGTCCTGGTCACCAAGTACTGTCACCATCGTACTGTGATACTCTCAACATCGTACTGTCGTATTGTCCCCATCGTACTGTCTTAGTGTCACCATCGTACTGTCGTATTGTCACCATCGTACAGTCGTACTGTCACCATCGTACTGTCGTACTGTCACCATAAAACTGTCGTACTGTCACCACCGTACTGTGATACTGTCATCATCGTGCTATCGTATTGTCACCATAACATTGTCGTACTGTCACCACCGTACTGTGATACTGTCATCATCTTGCTGTCGTATTGTCACCATCGTACTATCGTAAAATTGTAGCCACAGTTACTGGAAACTATTCAGTGTCGTTCGTTGGGACTGGTCGTAAATTGTCACCCATAACACTGTCGTACTGTCACCACCGTACTGTGATACAGTGTCATCATCGTGCTGTCGTATTGTCACCATAAAACTGTCGTAACTTGTCACCACCGTACTGGTGATAACTGTCATCATTCGTTAACTGTGTATTGTCACCATAAAACTGTCGTAACTGTCACCACCGGTACTGTTATACTGTCATCATCGTACTGTCGTGGGTTGTTCACTATCGTACTGTCGTATTGTCACCATTGTACTGTTGTACTGTCACCAAAGTATTGTTCGTACTGTCACCATCGTACTGTGATACTGTCCACCATTCGTACTGTCCGTGTTTTCAAACCATCGTAACTGTCGTAATTGTCACCATCGTACTGTCACCAAAAGGACTGTCGTACTTGTCACCATCGTACTGTGATACTGTCATCAATCGTCTGTCAACAGTGTTTGTCACCATCGTACTGTACCACGCAAAGGAATGTCGTACTGTCACCCCATCGTACATGTGATACTGTCACCATCGTAACTGGTCGTTTTGTCACCCATCGTAACTGTTCTGTATTTCCACCATCGTACTGTCCACAAAAGGAAACTGTCGTACTGTCCACCATCGTACTGTGATACTGTCATAATCGTACTGTGATACTGTCATCATCGTACTGTCGTAATGTCACCATCGTACTGTCGTATTGTCACCATCGTACTGTCGTACTGTCACCACCTTACTGTGGACACGGAAACTCCAGTAGCGTAGTGATAACAGCGTTCATATTATGAAGAGCTCAGGTTATGAAAATGATTTTTCGGACTGTGCACATTTTTTTTGTTTCATAATATATTTTATACTTTGTCACGTAACTTTTTATTTAATCTTTTATAAACCTGTAATTCATTTAATGTTTTGCACAATTAAAAGTTTTAAGGAACCTTCTTCAGAAGGCTAAAGAGTTTCAATTTTTTTTTTTATTTTCAGCAATATTCATATAAGAACCTACTTTATCAAAATGCGTTTTTAGCTCACCTGAGTTAACTCAGGGTTAGTTTATAGTATCGTCTAATGTCCGTCGTCCGTCATGATCAAACTTTGTCAGGATGCTTCTCTAGGTAATTGCTCGGATGAGTTCCAACATGGGTCATCTCGGATGAAAAGCTAGGTCATAGGAGCTAAAAAAATGTTAACACTTTAGTGGCTACTGTTTTGATCTAAATATCCTAGAAATTGGTCTGAACGTTTGTTTTGATGATTTCTAGGTGAAGTTTGAATATGTTTCACCTTGAGTCAAAAACTAGGTCACACCGCCCAAATATCGAAAATCCTTGTTAACACTCTAGTGGTCACATTTTTGACTCAGTTGTCATCAAGCTTGGTCAGGATGCTTGTCTAAGTAATTGCTCGGATGAGTTCATGTGGTCAGGTGAGCAATCTAGGGCCAGCATGACCCTCTTGTTTGTTAAATCGGTATTATTTTTTTTTTATTTCTTAGTATGAATGTATGAATCAAACTATGGGCTGTCTATTAAAGTCTATTCAAAATATACACTGCAAACGCTCTATAAACAAAAATGCATTTATAGAAGGAATAAGTCGATGACCATAGTTTCATATACATGTATGTATAAGAAAAGTAATCAAGTGACTAATATT